CTAGATATATATAAATTATATTTCTGAAAACCAGACTTCCTAAGCAGGCAGGCAGAGACCCTCTCACTGTCTCAGTGTGTGATTTTAATCCCTCTGTCCTCTGCTCACACTGTTCTATCAGCCCAGACTTCCCTTCCTTCTGCATTTTCAGTCACTCTTGATGTGCTTTTGGATTTCACTTCTCCATGGGTCTTTTTCCTTTCCCCACTGCTGAGATAACACTTTTGTAAACCTCTATCATCTAGTGTTTATTGAATATACTTTCTGGTCAGAGCTGTATAATTTGTCTGACTAACAGATAGTAATTGCCACGAAGGCATGAACCTGTCCTTTCAGTTTAGCTCCACTGTGACACATGGGGATTATGTGTATTCAGGTTATTGAGTTATTTATTGCAATACTGGCTACTTGTTACTCAAGTGCTCTACCGCTTATGGCATACCCCCAATCCTTTGGTTATATTTATTTATTTTTCTGTGTATAAATCATTAACTTTGCCCAGTCTGGTCTCAAATACACTATCTTCCTGCTTCTCCTTCTGGACTGGCTGAGAGAGCAGGTATAGACCACCACGCCCTGCTGTTATTAATAAATCCAGAAGCACCCAGTGCAATGTATTCTGGTATGCAGGTGTTCTCAGTGGAGTTGTAGATCTGCTTCTAAGTGCCTCAGAGCCAGCGGGACAAAGAGCAGCCTAGTCCAGTGTGTTACTTCACATCATGTAGAATTAGTTCATACTGTGTTCGTTAAGTGGATTTTTGCATTGAGACATTACCTAGGGCCTAATCAGGACTCACACCTATTGCAAATTAGAACATATTTTTATCATCGAGGAGAATAATGGCATAGGTTTTATATAAGGAATCTGATTCTGAAGTGAGATGTGATGACATGACCCATTTGTCCCTTTGGCATTAGTAACTGTGATCAGACCTCTGATTTTTTGTCCCCAGGTGAGCTATCAACCAACCATGTTTTGCAGGCGGATTTTACAACACTGTTAAAACCAAAGATTGTTGCTACTGTGGAGACAGCTGTTGCTGGAAGTAAGTTTTATTTGGTGACGTGTTTTAATTACTACTTTTCAAAATGTGTGTGAGCAGGGTTAATGTAAATCTATTATAATAAGCCTAAAAGCAAATAATTTAATAAGTTAATTTCTTTTTAACAACAAATGAAAGACCTGATGAATCTTTTCTCTGAGGGATATGTCAAAATATGGAACCAAAACAGCTCCCATTCCTGCACTTTCAGATAGTCACAATTGACTGCTGTGCTTGACTACATCAATTTTACTGATTTGGAGGGGTTCATGCCCACTCTAAAGACTGGTATGTATTCAGAACACACTACCAGTGAGTAACAGTTCCAGAATTTCTAATTCTCTTCTGTTTTTTCTACCAGCTTATCCATTTATCAAAATGCTAGGCTTAAGAATATTAAGTTTTGAAACTGTGTCATTGCTAATTGAAAAATATTGAAAGTAATAGAGGACAAAACTGAATTAATTTATTTCTAGTGATTTTAATTTTTAGGTCATAATGAATTAACTGTATGTAGATGTAATCCTTAAAATATGCCTTGAATAATATATGTAGATGGTGACTAAGTTAGGAGATGGTTTCATGACAATAATTAAAAAATATAAAGTTTGAATGAACAGAAATGATATAATTAACTATTTTTACTCTTCAACCCTAGGTGCCTTTTGAATTGGTTTGAATCCATACCTGTCTGGCAAATAAATGAATGCACCAGTCCTGTTTGGGAAGAGTTAGCACAGTTTCACTCACTTCCTGTGGTGGCAAAGTCCAACAACAGGGAAGAAAGATCATTTCTCTCACGAGCATATTGCATGCTCTGCTGAGTGAAATCTCAGAGATAGCCAAGCAGGCAGAACTTCCCCATCTGTTTCAAAGTTTAGAAACTTTTGGGTAAGCTGTGTATAAATGTGTGGGGAATTTCCTGTCAGGTTAAGTTGTTCTGTCTATAGACCACAGAAATAAAAGACCTGTAAATTGCAGCTGGAGCCCAAATTCTTAGTACTTGTTATTAATTAACTTGGTGCTATTCATTTGCTTTGTGTTTGTTCAAGCATCTTTATTATAGATTATATATTTTAAAAGTTTGTACATTAATTAAAATTAATACTTATTAGTAATATAGCATATGCATTATTAAGATCTCTGTTAAAATTGAATATTTTAAACTTTAATTACATAATATATAATTACATGTTAATATAACATGAAAATATAATATACAGAATATACTATGTACTATATGATAATATAATATGTAATTAAAAATTAAAAATGCATAAATTTTAACTCACAAATTTTAATGACCTCTTAAAAATAAAAAATAAAGTTTAATTATTTCATGAATTTAAAATTATGTAACTTATATTAGTATTTAAACAAGTATAGACCAACCTTAAACATACATGGATTAGAAACTAAACTTCTGCAGTTGACTCTGAGGGATAAATTTTTAAAAATTGAGGACTTAAAAGAAATCACTAAAATGTGTGTGAATATGTCATAGATAGAGATCTAGCAAGACATGTACATGCAAGCACACGAGCACACATTCAATAAAATGAAGAGTCATTCATGATTCAGTTCCTGACTGACTGTTGTGCTCCCCTCTATCCATCCCTCCCTTCAGATGTTTACTCCACCAGAATACAAGCTGCATGAAGGTAGAGACTTTGTTTCTCTTGTGTACTGCTGCGCCCCTCAAGAACAAAATAGCAGCATATAATAAGTGCTTAATGAAGGTATGTTGATTGAATCAATTAATTTTAATTTATTGTTTTTTTAAAATTTATTTATTTATTATTCATATGTGCATACAATGCTTGGGTCATTTCTCCCCCCTGCCCCCACCCCCCTTTACCACCCACCCCGCCCCCACCCTCTCCCCGCCACCCCCTTGATACCTGGCAGAAACTATTTTGCCCTTATCTCTAATTTTGTTGAAGAGAGAGTATAAGCAATAATAGGAAGGAACAAGGGTTTTTGCTGGTTGAGATAAGGATAGCTATACAGGGAGTTGACTTGCATTGCTTTCCTGTACATTAATCTAAATTAATTCTTCTCAAACTAGCCTTTTCTATAGTTCCTGGTACCCTTCACCTATTGGCCTCTGTTGCTTTCAAATATCTGCTTTAGTTTCTCTGCATTGAGGGCAACAAATGCTATCTAGTTTTTTGGTTGTCTTACCTATCCTCATACCTCCCCTGTGTGTTCTCGCTTTATCAGGTGATCAGAGTCCAGTCCCCTTGTTGTGTTTGCTCTTGATCTAATGTCCAGATATGAGGGAGAACATATGATTTTTGGTCTTTTGGGCCAGGCTAACCTCACTCAGAATGATGTTCTCCAGTCCCATCCATTTACTTGCGAATGAAAAGATTTCATTCTTCTTCATGGCTGCATAAAATTCCGTTGTGTATAGATACCACATTTTCTTAATCCATTCGTCAGTGGTGGGGCATCTTGGCTGTTTCCATAACTTGGCTATTGTGAATAGTGCTGCAACAAACATGGGTGTGCAAGTGCCTCTGGAGTAACCTGTGTCACAGTCTTTTGGGTATATCTCCATTAAGTATAATGCTGGCTGTAGGTTTGTCATATATAGCTTTTATAATGTTGAGGTACTTTCCTTCTATTCCTAGTTTTCTTAGAGCTTTTATCATGAAATGGTGTTGGATCTTATCAAAAGCTTTTTCTGCATCTATTGAGATGATCAAGTGGTTTCTGTCTTTGCTCCTGTTAATGTGGTTTATTACGTTTATTGATTTTCGTATGTTGAAGAACCACACTTGCATTCCTGGGATGAAGCCTACTTGGTCGTGGTGAATAATCTTTTTGATGTGTTGTTGAATTTGGTTTGCCATTATTTTGTTGAGGATTTTTGCATCAGTGTTCATTAAGGAGATTGGCCTATAGTTCTTCTTTTTGGAGGTGTCTTTGCCTGGTTTTGAGATAAGTGTAATACTGGCTTCATAAAATGTGTTAGGCAGTTTTCCTTCCCTTTCTATTTTGTGGAACAGTTTAAGGAGGGTTGGTATCAGTTCTTCTTTAAAGGTCTGATAGAATTCAGCAGAGAATCCATCAGGTCCTGGACTTTTCTTTTTGGGGAGACTCTTGATTGCTGCTTCAATTTCATTTTGTGTTATAGGTCTATTCAGGTGATTAATTTCCTCTTGGTTCAGTTTTGGATGATCATATGTATCTAGAAATCTGTCCATTTCTTTTAGATTTTCAAATTTATTTGAATATAGGTTCTCAAAGTAGTCTCTGATGATTTCCTGGACTTCCATGGTGTTTGTTGTTATCTCCCCTTTTGCATTCCTGATTCTACTAATTTGGGTTTTTTCTCTCCTCATTTTAGTCAGGTTTGCCAGGGGTCTGTCAATCTTGTTTATTTTTTCAAAGAACCAACTTTTTGTTTCATTAATTCTTTGTATGGTTTTTTTGGTTTCTATTTCGTTGATTTCAGCTCTTATTTTTATTATTTCTCTCCTTCTATTTGTTTTGGGATTTGCTTGTTCTTGTTTTTCTAGGAGTTTGAGATGTATGATTAGGTCATTGATTTGGGATCTTTCAGTTTTTTTAATATATGCACTCATGGCTATAAACTTTCCTCTCTGGACTGCCTTTGCTGTGTCCCATGGGTTCTGGTAGGTTGTGTTTTCATTTTCATTGACTTCCAGGAACTTTTTAATTTCCTCTTTTATTTCATCAATGACCCATTCTTCATTAAGTAATGAGTTATTCAGTTTCCAGCTGTTTGCATGTTTTTTGTCTTTACTTTTGTTGTTGAGTTCTAGTTTTATTGCATTGTGATCAGATAGTATGCATGGTATTAATTTATTGTTGATAAATCATTTCTTAAGAAACAGAACTAAAAGTGATCCAATTTATGTAACATTCTGCAATGAAACGCCATGATCCTCAAAAAAAGCTCCAAGCTCTTGTGATGTTCCTTCAACCACTGAAGGAACAGTGGTTCTCCCAATGGTCCCATTTCCTCTCCTGCCTTATACTTAACTTGAAATTACTTGAAATAATTACTCCTTGTAATAGAGAGAATCCCCATTATCATGGCATGCTGAAGAATGATGAAGAAATGAGGGGATACGTTTGACCTGATGTCATCACACTCGCTAATTCCTGTAGGTGTGAAGTGCTGAGTCAGCTCTACTAACAGCAATGAGGAGACAACAGGAGATGACAGGGAGCTCTGTCCAGTAAGTTGACTCCTTTTGTTTCCCACTGATTTCATGTACCTTAGAGGTTTCTTCAGATCACAAGAAGACTATACTAATTTTGCTCTCAGACCTTTGCATTTTAGAATCTAATCAGGTCAAATTGAAGGGAATGGTTGCACTACATTACTTATGAAGTGTGGAAACTGACCCTCAGGAACCTTAGTGAAAAATAGAAAGGTTTAGAAACAAGATCTTACAGTTATAATATCAATATCTTATGTTTAATAAGAGCTTGTTGGCTGAATCCTCATAGCAGTATATAATCCACACATACTATTATTGTAAAATGTGCCCATAAAGTATAAGCATGACTTCAAAAAACATCTTATAAACATTTCTGATAAGGACATGAACGACGTGGAATGTTTTAATATTCCAGCCTATTTAATAACTTCAAATAGTCAAGCATATCATTAAATTCAGATTTATATTTCTATAAAACTGCAGTTTAGAGTGTAGTGTAATGTTCAATATATAAGAAGATAACCATCTATTCTACAACCTAATACTTTTGGAAGATATTTATAAATCTCATGTAATAAAAATAGCATGTTGCAGTCCAAATTTCATGTTTCTATGAATTGCCAGAGAAAATAATGAAGGATTTTTGAGAAGCATTTTCTTTGGATTTGGCAACCTAAGAAAGGTCAAAGACAGAGGGAGCCTAATTGCTTGGAAGAATGGAGAACAAAATACCCACAATAGAGGTCATGATGTCAGGAGAAAGAATTTACGTAGCATAAAATGTGATGAGTGGTAGGTTTAGTAAGCATATCTTGAGTGTGAGATTCAGATATGATATCCAGGTGGGAGAATCTAGACTTTTCAGTTGGAAATGGCACAGAGTTGAAATGAGCTAGAGACTTTTGATTCCCTTACATAGAAGGGTAACTTTGAAGACAAAATGGAGCTGGAGAACAGGAAAAAGGGCTAAGACTGGAATTATGCAGAATCTGAAGTACCCCCTGCCCCAGTATTTTCTAATTTATTTTTTAAACTAGGTCATGGTATATAACTCAGTTAGAAAATAATTAGCTCTAATCGACATCTAAAATATAGGAATATTGAAGAGCAACAATTGTCTCCTGCACAAACATTATTCAGAATAAGATAATGCCTAAAATAATCCACCCATTAGCAATTATCTAAATGTGCAGGGAAATAAGCATTATTGTAAGTAATTACTTGCTTTGGAAAGGTTTCCTGTATCCTGACTCTCAACTGTGTGTACACCAGCCAATTTATTTCTTCCTTCCAGAGTGTGCATTTAATCAATGTTTATAACATATAGACCACTAGAGACTTAGTATGAAATGAGAGATTAAATGTTGAAATTTGTTGCAATAAACAGATGAAGGCTTAATCATTTTTCTGATTTTTAATGTTGATTTAATGGGAAGATATTTGGGGATCAGATGTTGAGACAAATATATAAAATGAATCTGAGAGGTATGTTTTTGGACAAATCAATGAAATATTTACATCTATTTTCACAGTGTTCTTCA